TACTCTGCTTATTGTCCATAGCACTTATCACTCCAGTATGTTTAGTGGTCTGTGTCTACTGCCTGTCTTCTCAAACTGGAATGCAAACTTCATGAAAGCAGGGACTCCCAGTGCTATGCTCGCTGCTGTGTGCCCAGCACCCAGAATGATACTAGGCTCATAGCAGATACTCAGGAAATGTGTTGAAGAACTATTTACACCCTTCTGTACAGGTGCACATGCACACACTCCCTGCCCAGTCCAGAGTGCCTCTCCGGTAGCTGGATTCCGCCCTTTGCTGTCTCGCCCTGCCCAGAGCCCAGGCACCCCCTCCAGGAGCACGCAAGGGGAACTGGTTTCCTGGACACTCAGGCAGAGTGGCTGCTCCACTCCCCTTCCCTGAGCCTGGACTAGCAGGGAGAGGACTGGAGGTGAGTTAAATTCCTTAGCAAAAGTCAAGGAAGAAGGATTCAGCTTACTCTCGAGCAAGACCCTGTGGAGGGTCATAACCCTTCCCTAACACTCTCCCAACCACTGGCTGCTCCCACCGCACCGCATGGCTGACTGGTCTCCCTTTTGTGCCTCCAATAATACCCCTGTTCCCTCATTGTGGAACGACATCTTCCTGCTGGGGTAGAACTCTTGACTCTGCAGAGACCAGTTCAAATGTCACCTCCTGGGCAAAGCCCTCCCTTGCCCTCCAGACTTCTCTAACCACAGATCTCAGGATGCTGGTTCAGTACTTCCCTTACACACAGACCTGAGACTCACAGTCATCTTTCCTTGAGTGCTTGAGGCCCAGGTCACAGTGTCTGGCCATGGTACATATCTAGTAAGTTTACTGGTGTGTGGTCTGTAATGCCCACCCTGGAACATGGGAAAGGGTATGGGTTTGAGGTTGGTCAGCAGACCCGGGGTCAAAAATCCAAGACTGTTCTTTATTAGGCTGTGTGCCCTTGACCAAATCACTCCCTGTACCTCAGTCTCACCTATAAAATGCAGACGATATAGTGTCCGCTTTACAGGATTAGAAATAACATACACGAAGTGCCTGTGCCTAAATAACGGTAACTATTACTACTATTTGGGGTCCTGGGCTAGGCATGTCCAGTGTGGGCACTCTGCCCAAACTGAGGGTCCCATCAGTACTGCTAGATGGAAGGATGGGCTCTGGCTTCAGGGAGCTGACCCAGCATGGCACATATTAGGCTCTCCTGTAATTCAAGGTTCAGTGGCCCATGCCATCAGCCTTGGCACATTTGGCTGACTGGCCCCTACTCTATCCCACCTGCAGAGGGTTTGGGAAGTTCTCTGGAGAAGTAGGAATTGAAGGAGAGGAGGACATGGCAACAGTGATCAAATCAGATATCAGAACTGAAGCTCCATTTCTCCCTGCCTTCTGTGGAAATGGAAAAGGAAGACTCAAGCCAAAACAGAAACTATATTCATCACCCCTCCCTAGCCCGGGAGGTTCTGACGATATAGTTTACCAGAAAACCCTAACAAAGTGAGATCTTCAAAGCCCTTTTGCCCTCTCCACATGCCCCGACCTCTGTGATTCTATGACACTGGCCTAGTCAGGGGCTGGTGAGTCAGGCCCCACCCCACCCCTTAGTGCTGTTGTGTAATACCAGGGCTAATGGGTCAAGTTCCCAAGGTCAGTCTAGAAGGGGCCGGTCATCTTCCGGGAGAGATTTCAGTCCTATCAGCCCACTCAAGGGAAGGGTATTCCAAGGGTCGGGGTGGTTCAGCTCAGACTCCTCCCAGCACCAGCCCAGATGGGAAAAAAGCCAAGATCAGCCACTTCTCAGCCAGAAAAAGTTCAGAGGGATACACAACTGGTCAGAAAGGATGGCTTCCTTGTCGCCTGTCCTACTGATGTGGCAGCTGCCCCTTTGGGATCTAAGAACCCGAGGCAGTTTCAAGAGACAACTATGGACCTGGAATCAGGAGTCAGGAGCCAGTCTCTGCTGAATGATTTTGACCTTACTTGCCAAGTCTCAGCTTCCTCATTTGTGAAATGGAGCCAACAATCTCTGCCACTCAATGAAACAAGTATGAACTGTCAAATGTACAGGAATTTTGGTCTTACGTGCACAACTCTAGGTGTGCGAGAGCCCAGTTTAAAGCAGCACATATATGCTAAAGCCTACAGTGTGCCAGACACTGTGCTAGTCCCTGGGGACATGCAGCAGGTCAGTGTCTAGTAAGGGAAGCTGATAGATAAAAAAATAAACGGTGCCATGCTGTACAGCTTTCAGGGAGGAATGAACAAAGGACCATGGGCTCCCAGAGAAAGGAGTATCTGACCCAGGCTGGAGTAGGTGAGGCTGGGAAAGCCACAGGGAGGAGCCATCTGACCTAGGCATTGAAGAGTATCTATTGCTGCGGGCATTCCAGGCAGGCAAAGCAGCATGAACTAAGGCCCAACCTCAGGTCTAAAGCACAGACCCAGCTCACTGGCTGACCCTAACCCAGGGAGCCTGCCCCCAGACACTGGGTACCTCCTTAGGCATGATCCAGACATCCCCAGGGCATGGTCCCTGTAGGCTCATAACCCAAAGGGGCACTTCTTCATGGCCAATGAGGAAAGAAACGCCCAACTTTAGCAGAGGAGGCTGTCTCTTCCTCTGGCCTACCTCTGCTCCCCCTTCTCCTCTCGGCAAGAGCTCTGTTCAGAGGACCCAGCTCTCCATTCTTTGAGCCCATCATGCTGTTCGCCTGTCTCTGGTGAACTCATCCTCTTGCACTGAGGCCCCTCACTAATTGTTGGCTCTTCTGTGAAGCCACCCTTGGCCTTTCTCTGCCTTGAGTTCCCAGAACTTCATGTACAGTTCTCTAGAATTAATGCTTGCCATGTAACATCCATTTCCAGATTCACTTCCTGAGCAGACTCAGAGTCTGGGTCTTTTTCACTCTTGAATCGTTTGATAAATGTGAATCTTGGCCCCAATGCCCTCCACTCCAGCATTTTACTTATTTACAAAGAGCCAGGACTTGGGCCTCTGGGACAGAATGAGAAGCAAGCTGCATCAGCTGTCCTCAAACAGCTTGTGAAATTAAAAGCCATAACTACTGCTCTATATTGTTCTTATGTAAACAATAGCTAACATTTATTTATTGAGCATTACATGCTCACTGTTTTAAGTCATATAAACACATTATTTCATTTAATCCTCACCATAACTATGAAGTAGGTGCATTACTATCTCCATTTTACAAATAAGAAAACTGAGGCACTGACTTCATTGAGGTCACTAAACAGTATCAAAACCTAGGAACTCTGAGTCAGGACTCTGCATTCACAACCACTATGCTATATGGTCTGGGTGCTGCAGGAACAGAGGGGCAATATTTAGCCTTTGGGGGTGGGGGGGAAGATGATCCAGAGACTGCCTGAGCAAAGCACTGAAGCACAAGTTGAAGGTACCCTGGCAGGTCAGATAAAAAAAAAGGCTTTCTAAGAAGATTAAAAGGGCTTTCGTGCAAAGGCATAGAGACATGAAATAGCAAGGTTTGGGCATGTACATCCTACAAATGTCATATTATTGGACCTTAAGGTGTATATAGGAGACATAGATCATAGAGAACTCTGTAAATTGTGCTAGGAATTCACCCTTTCCTATATGCAATGAAAAGCCATCAAAAGGTTTTAAGCAAAGTAGTGACACTATGAGACTTTTTAAAAAGGATCGCAAGAGTTACAGTTTGGAGACTGAGTTGCAGACGGCCAGGACTGGAAGTTGCTGGGAAGCCACTGCAGTCATTCTGGTAAGAAACACATCGACAAAGGTGGTAACAAGAGATGAAGGTGTGGGGCCAGGTGTGAAGCATGTTCAGGAAGTTAGCTGGACTAGGTCTCCTCTTAGATGTGAAAAGTGAGAGAGAGAGGAGATAATGCTCAGGTTTCTGGCTGGGATGGGTGGCAGAGGAAGAATGAATCTGCAGAGGGAAAGACCAGTTCAAGTTTAAACTCAGTGAGCTGCAGCTGAAGTGGAGCTGTCCAAGTGGTACTGAGGCTCAAGGGAGGGGCTGCCCTGAAGTTGTAGATCTGGGAGTGGTTTGGGTATTTAGGCGGTGTAAAGCTGAAGCCCTGAGAGTACACAGATGACCATCCAGATTCAGTGTACCGAGGGGCTGGAGCAGAGGAGAATGGGAAATGGTACTTCTGTCAGAGCAGTAGGAAGAAAATAAGGAGACGCTGATGCAGAGGAATCCAAAAAACGGAGGTGGGGGCACGTGTGAATTATGTCAATTAAGAATGAATGTCAGCAGTTTATGCACCTCTAAGAACTCAAGGAAGATACTTTAAAGGGCCCTTTTTATGTCAATTAGAGTTATTCACTGCGGTTTCCAAAGGAAGTTGGGGGAGACCGGATGTCTGTGAGACGCAGACCTACAGGAAACGTGTAAATATTTTCCTCATTAGGAATCCCTGACCCCTCCCTATATCCAACTCCTGCCCGTAAATACCCAGATACCGTCCTCCTCGCCTCTACCCTCAATTATGTCAATTAAGAATGAATGTCAGCAGTTTTATGCACCTCTAAGAACTCAAGGAAGATACTTTAAAGGGCCCTTTTTATGTCAATTAGAGTTATTCACTGCGGTTTCCAAAGGAAGTTGGGGGAGACCGGATGTCTGTGAGACGCAGACCTACAGGAAACGTGTAAATATTTTCCTCATTAGGAATCCCTGACCCCTCCCTATATCCAACTCCTGCCCGTAAATACCCAGATACCGTCCTCCTCGCCTCTACCCTCACAGTGAACAGGGAGGCTCTACCCTGGCCCTATTGGGTGGGCGTGCCGCGGAAGGTCAGCCTCGGAGACCCCCGCCCCCTCGAAACTCGCACAAACAGAGGGAGGCCGAGCAGAGGAAGGGGGCGGAACCTGGGACGAGGGGGGTGTGGGAAGGGTCGGACGCAACCAAGAACGGACACCAGGCAAAGAGGCGGGATCCGCTAGCAAGAAAAAACCCTCGTGGCACTACCCAGTCTCAGTGACCTCTGCTGGACCCACCTGCTCCATGTCAGCCACCGGCCCGACTCTTCTGCCCCAGTAGCTACCCGGCTTCCCGGCACCAGCAGCGCCCCGGACCGGAAGGAGATCTTGCTGCGGCGCCACTTCCGCTGCTGAGTCCGCCCCGAGAATGAACCGGGACGTGCGTAAGGCTGCAGCCCCGCCCCTTCGCCTCAGCCTCGGTCCCCAAGCCCTTTGGCGCCACCCCCGAGGGCTAGAAATGAGGGCCGCAGCTAAAGTTCAACATCAAGAGGTTCTTCCTAAGGGTGAGGGAATGGGAAAGAAGCCCAAGTGCATCGTCGTAATTGGCTCACATAGGCCTAGCACAGTAGAAAAAAAGAGACCTTCTTCAGGGAGTGCTGGAGAGGACAGAATTTGGAGGAATCCATAATTATTCTTGAAGTACTTTTGTTCTCTTTCCTCCCGTTGCCTCTTTCTGCCATCTCTAGCAGGATCTAGAACTTTTGTGGTCCTTCCTAAGAGTGCCCCGAGCTGGTTGTCTGCAGGAAAGACTCCTAGACTAGAGGACTGGACACTAGGATCAAGTTGCTGACCCTTATGACCACCAACTAGGTCTTCCACACGGTAGTGGTGGTGAATCCGTTACCTCCTCCTCCCTTTCCTTTCCCCTGAAAAAAGGAGCCTCAGCACAGTTATTTACAAAGATTTATTACAGCACGGGAGCAGTTCAGGTCTGGAGTCAGGGAAGAGAGGAAGGGGGCAGAGCAGCTTGAGGACAAGAACCTGGCTCCCCCCACCACGTGCCCCCCCTAAGAA